AGTACCTCGTGGGGCCGCCTGGGGAGCGTTAAGAGCGCCCCTCGGTCTTAGGGGCTCCTGATTTTGGGAGGAGAGGAAGGGTGGGGCATCTCTGCGGACAAATTAGATTGCAATAATCCTGTAAAATAAGAAAGTTACGAGGGTAATTTGGGTCGCGTACTCAAACCTCGGGTAGGTACACTGAAAAAAGCTTTAATATCATCGCTATCCCCCCCACTGGACCAACGGCGAGCGCGCATATGTCGGGTGAGTGTGCTCTGACCTCGGGCGAGGTCATTAAGATACATTTTCTATTAATACTACTAACCCTAACAAGAATTAAGGTGAACGAGTGAAGAAGGTTGAAGATTTTGGAAATCGGCTCTACCTAAAATTTGTAAGTAAGCGATTATTCTCGTGGTTAATTATAAAATATATCTTTGCTTACTGTACGGACTTAAACGGTTATTGTATGCGGCGGCTTTCCGAGGACCCCTCTGCAGATCAATGCCATCATGAAATCCCTGCTGGATCGACGGCTGGCGTACAAGAAACCGGAAGATTGTAGACAATTCAACGCACTTAAAATTTGTAAGTAGGCGGTTATAACACATAAGGGCCTTTCGAAGAACCCACGAGGAATCCTTACCGCACTCTATTTTATCCCTCGTCGTGCAGAAGGTCTACAGAGAGAGGTTTTTAATGGCTCCGAGATCTTTTTTTTAAAACTTGACAGGTCATCAGGAGGAAATAAGAAATGTCGGAAAGCACGGGAAGATGTCAGAGAACCCACCTGATCAAGATAAAATCCAGCCTGCACAAGACCATGCTCAAGTTCCTCACGATCCAAGTAGACGAGCTGACAGTGCCCGATAGAAGAGTCGGAACCTAGCTCCTCGTAGAACTGCTGTGATAAGGCCTGAAAGTACTTCAGCAAACCAAGGTATTTCACGACCGGATCAGCAGCTCCACGAAGTGCGCGACGAAGCCTCCCTGTGGAGAAATGGCCAAGGAAAACCATGCACTTCAGTTGGGTGGGTGGGCATCAAGGAAATGAACTTAAGATAAGTACATTAGAGAGCTGCTTCGAACAGGCCAGCATGATTGCTGTGTCACATGGAGATAACGGAGGGCGACTTGTAGTACGCAGACAAGTAAACCGCTCGTATTACGTCCTAGTTTATTGACGCGGTAGGATGTTCCCGAGGTCTGCACGTTCATATAACTCCCGAGTTTTTTTTCAA